TCCCATCTGGACCAGTGGCCTTGGTGGGGTTGAGCTGGCGGAGAGTTCGCTCGACTGTGGTTTCGCGAAACCGGACGGTGCAGAGGTTGCGGTCAGTACGTGGTCGGACGTAAGGAAATGGAGCGGATAGGTCGTCTGCCCCTAGACTGCATTTGTTGGCGAAGTGTTCGGCCATGCACTCTGCTTTGCTGCGGTTGGTGTCGTGCTCCGTACCATCGGTGCTGCGGAGAGTAGGTATGGATGGGCTGTTTCCGTGGCCAGAGGCCTTCTTGATGGTTCGCCACCATTCACCAGACGCCATACACCCAGAGGCTAACTTCTGCGCCAGGCTTGCTGTGAATGCCTGCTTGGCAGTTGCCAGGCAATGGTTAGCCGAGTGCTTGGCGACATTGTAACGGGCTTGCAGCTGGGCACTTGATCGGTCGGCGCAGAGTCTCCTCCATGCTCTTTGTTTCTGTGCTACAGCCTCAGTGCATTCCGGTGTCCACCAAGAGGGGTTAGATGGTTTCATGCACAATTGCTTAGACGGTATGTATCGGCGCATTCCTTCCAGAATATTCTGGGTCAAGTGCATACACATTGCATCAGGATCATCACTGACAGTGGACTGCCAATCTGTTGTTCTAAAGAAGTGGCGGAGTCTGTCCCAATCTGCGCGTTGGTAACGCCAGACAGTTCTGGTCACTGGTGGTTCCTCTGCTGTGCTTACATGAAAGTCAGCTAGGACACAGGCATGGTCAGAGTTTCCCAGAGGTGCTAAGGTATTGACGGTCGCATCTCCCGGTAGGTCAGTCATTATTAAGTCGAGTGGGTTAAGGCCCCTGGTGGGCTCATGCACGTGCTGCTCCAAGCAGTGAAAAGCACACATGTCTTCAGTGTACACACCTGCATGAGTTGTCTTGGTGCTGCCGAGCCAATCCATGTTGTGTACGTTAAAATCTCCAGCCAATACCACATATTGACAAGATTTACGGGCCAGGTCTATGCCAGCACTGATGGCTTCAAGGGTACTGATGTCATTGTCGTGGCAGGAGCCAGAGCGATATGCAGCACACACAGCCACTGACTTCTTATCCACAGTTCTGACACTCAGCCATATTAGCTCCTCATTACCGACCTGGATGTCATCGAGTTCTCGGAGGGCCAGACTGGCTTTAACCCAAACCGCAACTCCTCCTCCATGAGCTGTTCGATCCTTCCGCAGTGGGGAGTAGTACCCAGGCAAGGACAGTTCGGAATCAGTAGCCTTCTCAGGGGTTAGCTTGCTCTCTGTGACAATGGCAATGTCAGGTTGGTGAACGTGTACAGCATGGTGAAAGTCACCAAGTTTACTCAGTAGTCCAAATGTGTTCGTCAGCAGGATCCGAAAGTACGGAACTAATATGGAGCTTTGCCTGATGTATAGTTAGTGTATCTCCGTATATAAGCGTACGGCGTCTGCTGCATAAAAGCCGCTGCGCATTTCTGTTTAGAGGAGATTTTAATAATAACGAGCTATTCAACCTCCAGGTTTGCACCGGAGAGAAAGTTATTTTGCCGCTTCTTCTTTCACTAATAATTATATCTCAGGTGTGTACCTGAAAGAAGTAGAATAAAAGTAATTATTGTTGATTTCACCGCGCCTACCACTCGGCTACCCATTACACATGTAGCAGAAGATGCGAGTGAATCAGCCTTGATCAGGTATCCCGGGGCGGACGAGAAAGTGACGGGTAGTCCGCAAAACTCCGCGTACCGTCACTGTACGTAATGTACAATATTATGCATGTAATACGTAGTCATAACCTCTGGATTTTAGCAGCCATGACTGTGCAGGCTATGGACATTGCTCTAATAAATAAAAAAATGAGGCATAGCTGATGTCCGGGTATGATGGAAGGAGAGGTGAAGCTACGGGAGAGGTGAGCTGATGTTTCGCAGGGCGAGGGTGACATCGGTTGGACGAGTACAATGATTTCGTAGACAGTTGAACATGATCATTTTCAAAGGTAACTCAAACTATTTTGGCAATGAAAAAATCTTTTTACAAAAGAAGTCAACTAATGAATGGAAGAAGTAGTGTTTTTTTTCTTTTCTATGTTGATCTCTAGCATGCATGGACATCTTGGTATGGGGATACTCATGTACATGTATTTTGTTGCACTTATGCCCACTTGCAAGTACGAAAAAGGCACAATTTTCCGAACTTTGAGGCTCCATAAGCACAACAAAGTGAATATGTATCCCCGCGTGCCAAAGCATAATACGAGGATTTTGCGAGCATAATGCGAGAATCCATAAAAGCATAATTCCATGATTTCGCGAGCATAATCCGCCGGAGCCTAGTACGTGTACATGACTGTACTCTTGGATACAGTCAGTTTTAGAAAGTGACGTGAAAAGCATGGATTGGGAAGTAGTCGCAGCACCTGTATTTTGCTGCTCCCTAACCTGGTCAAAAAATCAATAGCGGAGTTACAGAATCTGTACACAGGCGTGTTTAATCGTCTCTCGACCACACAGCTAGCAGGGAAGTCACCATGACGTGCAGTCGTGCAGGACATTGCGGCCAATGACAGTATGTCATCATGAACAAGTCAATAGGTCACGTGATTACGAGGTCATCCAAAACAGTGCGCTATCACTATCAGCTATCACCAGAACTTGCGAAAACATGCACAAATCCACAAGCAGCCCGGAGTGGCCTAGCGTGACTAGCTCTGGGTCCGGTCTCTTTCATTTCATAACAAGAAGCGGTTCAGAAGGATATTCAAAGCGTTGTTCTGGAGAGATTTGGCTGGAAGAACTCTAAGGAGACAACATCTGTTGAACCGTCAATCATGTCGCTACTGACAACAGTGACTCTGTTTGTGTGCTGTGTTGCACTAGCCTCTGCTGGTGTTGTTCAGAGCAAGGAGCGGAGAGATCATGAACACAGACTTTGGCCGTTGCAAGCAGCAGGTAGCCACGTCGCCAGCAATCCCGTTAAGCCGGGACCGCTGAAAGTCTTCATCCTTGCCGGCCAGTCGAACATGGAGGGTCCGGCGTCAGCGGATCAGGTCAACTCGAGCGATCCCAACCACGGCTACTCGAATGGCACACTACGGTACATCGTCAAGGACCCACGCACTGCAGAAGAGGTCAAGGCCGTGGTCAATGCCACGACTGGGAACTGGACGGTGCGGGACGATGTCTGGGTTTGGTTCAACGAAGGTGGGCCCGACAACGACGGGAAATACGGACCGTTGACAGTGGGATTCGGCGCTGAGGGAGATCCGCACAGGTTAGGGCCAGAGCTCAGCTTCGGGTTTACAATGGGCGACGCACTGGAGGAGCAGGTGTTGATCATCAAAACAGCCTGGGGTGGCAAGACACTAGCTGGGGACTTCAGGCCGCCCAGCTCTGGTGGTACTGTTGGTCCCTACTACGAAACGATGATGCAAGACGTGCAGAATGCCCTGGGTAATCTCACCAAGCTCTACCCGGGCTATGATGCCAAAGCCGGCTACGAGGTGTGCGGCTTTGGCTGGTTCCAGGGCTGGAATGACGGTCTTAGCGTTACCATGGTAGCTGAGTATGAGAAGAATATGGTCAATCTGATCAAAGACATTCGCACGACGTGGAAAGTACCCAACCTAGCAGTCAGCATTCCCGTTGCTGGATTTGACGGCTGGCATAACACAGTGCAGCGGCGCATCGACCTCATCCAAGCCCAGTTCAACGCCGCCAACTGCAGCATCCACCCGGAAATCAACAATGCCACGCATCCGACCGTAACGGCAGAGGAAACCAGGGACTTCTGGCGCGAGCCGCAGTTTTCGCCTGCCGATCGTGTCTACCACTACAACCTGAACGCCGAAACGTTCTGGCTGGTTGGCAGAGCGATGGGACAAGCGATGGTGAAAATGATCACATCATCCTAGTAGGGGCATGTACATGCATAACAGAGAGGTTCCAGGCTGTCCAAGAGAGTGCTTTTAGATTTGCGCCATGATGCAGTAATTTACACTAACTGTCTTAGCTTTGTGGGTATATAAACCAATACTGATCCCGATTTAATCATTGCTGTTTTCTGATGATCGCTTAGTGCGTGAAACTCAGAGTTAATTTTAAATGTACGGTCATATACATGTACATGTACAGTGTAGATCAAATATATTACATTGTTAGATGCATTCATCTTGGGATGGACTGTTGCGTTGTGTGATGTAGTTATTTCATGTACAATGTAGACATGAAAGGCGTACAATCAGGTAATTTCCCTTGGGTTTTTTTTTATCAAGTCTGCGGTTCGATACACAAGTATTCTTCTCAAGCTTCGACGTGCCACCAATCAATTATTTCAATCAATCTAGCACGGAGAATAAACCTTGAAAATTCCCCCCAAGGTTTGTATTTCATCAGCATGAGTGAATTATCGCCTGGACTGTTTTGCTTGCTTCCTCGAACCGGTGATTTGTTCAACTACATCCGAATTCTACTGATGTACCATTCAAACACGACAGGGAATACATTTTAGTGACGTGTATGACACGAAAGCTTGCCAAAACCACCTAAAGGCTACTTGCAAGCTCCAGAGCATACTCATAGTCCACCGATCCCCATCCCCTGCTCCAGCACTTATTTAAACAATCATCCTTGATGCACCATCCCCCTTCACACACCAGCAATATTGACACACCCCAGCACGATTTGAAGCTGCCAACACAATCCTGTTCATGCACACGACGACAGTAGAATTAATAGGATTCTTAATAAATTTTAAACGATTGGGAGAACTTCAAATTAGTTTGAAATTAATTGATCTAGCACCCTCCCTTGTTGTTCCAAGTACTCGTAGATTCCACGGCAGCCATTTATACATCAGGATCCCTCAACTCAAAGACTCAACACGGTCTCTTTGCTGCATACGTCACTAAATGTCTTCTCGGGCATGGCCCATTAACAGGATGAAAACAGAAAACCCTCCCTATACTCTTGCAGAATTCCTGTAGCACAAAATGGTGGCCGAGAGAGACCACTGTAATGGAAACACTATGAATACATGTACCGTCTACAGTACTTGTAAAATGATTGTGTTGCATAGCTGCTGGCTATGCTCCGAATTCATGCGAATTTGCGACTCTATCAAGATTTGGCGAAATGCAGTTAAAATGCTTTTAAAAAATCTAAAACTAATACTGTACATCAGCAGCATAGTGCCAAATTGAAAATCAATGGCTAAAAAAATGGTGTAAAATTTTTCTGAAATCTCAAGGTGAGGGTATTGTTCACTGAGAAGGAAGACGGCGGATATGCAGCACCACACTCTGCTGAGGTGAAGCCGTAAGGCATGTTCATCTTGAAATAGAAATATACAAAGGAAAAATCATCGCTGTGTATGCGTGTACTGATTGGTGAGAATAGCAAAGAAGGGGATTTCAATATTCCATGTCGAACTCGAAGTAATCCGAGACAACAACACATCAATAGAAAGAGGAAAAGACAGTTCAAACTTGAAGTACTAGTACGTAACGTTCGCACATGCGCAATACCACCGGCTATACAATTGTGTTGAGAAATTTCGCCATCACACTCATTTACGTGGAAGCTATTATTTTTTCTTGAATTCATACGTGTCCTTTTATTTCTGATGTACATGTACATGTATATGTATATTGTATACTAGGCGAGCAGGAGGCGACCTTGAAAATACGACAGGAGATACACCCCGGAGGGCCAGGAATGAAAATGTGATTACAGAAAATAGAATGACAGAATAGAATAATAGAATGAATTCTGAGAATGAACTGGCAAGAATGGTACGGTTTCCAACGGCCGAAGAACGTTGGAAAGTGCGTGTCATTGCCAAGCCACCCGACCGTGCTAATAGCATAGACTTCTACATGTACATGTATGTTCGTGTGTTGTTGTTGTTGTTGTTGTTGTTGTTGTTGTTGTTGTTGTTGTTGTTGTTGTTGTTGTTGTGAAAGTGGACCACAAGAACACAAGAGACTTCTGCGTGCGTACTGTTCTAGTAAGACTAGTTAGCTGGCGCTGGTTATGGATATAAACAACCTTCTGGCATTATGTACATATGCATATGTAGCACTTAGACCGGTGCGATAGAATGTTCAGACCTTGAAGAAATGCACAAATTGTCTTCCGACCGCTAGTGCGACGTAGCTTTCAGACACCACCTTCAGCTGTGTAGATGATGCAAAGCAGTACCTGTATTGACGGCATAAACGTGTGGGCACAAGCTTTACAACTGCCATTGCAATTCCAGTGCTGAATGATAAATGGGTGAAACTGTAACTTCATCGTGCCAGGTTGAGGCGGCCCAGAATCTCCGGAAACAACGGTCGACTCTTTGCTTCTTTGCTCCAGCAGTCCTCAGTTATCCGCTTAAGTTCGTAGAGCTCTTGCCCCGGAGGCAGGGGAAGGCGCTCTCCATTCTTGATGCCACGTATCACATCATTCTCGTCATCTTGCTCATTGTACGGTTTGTCGTGGGTAAGAATTTCCCAGAGCACCACGCCGTAGCTGAATTGGACATCAGAACAGCCCCAAATCAGAACAGCCCCAAATCAGAACAGCCCCAAATCAGAATGTCTTAATGCCGAGGCAGGCACGAGTAGGGAAGGGGGAAGGGGATGTAAAAGGGAAAGTGTGTGATCATGCAACCAATTATCTAGACAGTTGCGCTCACTGAAATGTGAAATCCGACCTAAAGTGCTGAACTCAGACAGTAACCTCTCTTACGGGAAAAGATGACCAACAAAGCAGTAAAGCCAGCTGCTCAGAAAAACTTCAAAAAATGATAAACTGGCCTGGCCCTGAACCTGTTGCGATTATATTACTGTACTTGTACATGTGCGTGTGTTCGGCCCAAACCCCAATCGTACCACTTCCAGTGCCTCAAGGGCCATCCAAGTTGAGGGCGCTAATTTTCCCTGGCTACCTCCTGCGACCCTCTCCTTTCTTCGCCAACACACCCTGGAACAACCTGCCTGTAGACCTCCTGCTTCACGAGCCCCATCCCAGGCTCCTCCAAACCTTCAAGGTGAACGTATGTGATGACGTAATCCGAAAGAGATGGCCGGCTGTGGTCCACACAGTACCTGTGACCATGATATTGAGACTCATTATACATGACTCGCACGACACACAACAATGAAAGGAGCGTTCAGATGAGTCACTTGGAGAAGGTGATACCGAAGATGAAGCGGATGGTGATAAAGTTGGTGACGTCGAGTGTGGTTGTGACCTGGAGTTGGATGTCAAGAAATCGGCAGTTTACAGGCATGTGGTAGGTCAACCTGACTGTTATCATTCATGCTCAGGTTCTTCTTTCACCGTGTTGTGTCGTGGGAGTCGTACTCATAATATGCAGCTTGAAGTTTAGAGGCAATCTTCTTGTACAAGCCAGTTTTGTGTGTACAGAAGGCAAGTGTTATCACCCTCACTTATAGTATGGTACGAGCATGGTGAGTGTGATTGTCCCCCCCCCCCCCGCACCCCTCCTCTCCGTTCACACTTTCCTCCGGTCTGTTCAGGCTTTGCTTTGTTTTGCTGATGTTCATGATTCACACTTGCATGTTGTTAGCTGCTGAAGCTATCCCCCGCTCAATACATGTAGTATAATCGCCTTTTCCTTTCTCCTTTTTTCCCAGTATTTCACTTTTAGTTGTCCATATAAGATTTGCTACAAGTTGTCCCCATTCCATTGTTATGTAGATTCACTGATGAATGTAACCAGAAAACAATTCTGAACAAATCCTCTCTTTCCTTTTCGTGGTGTGCCTTGCGATCATCGTTTCACATTTTACTCACGATGATGTTATGTCCACATTTAGGAAATGCTTACAGGGCAATTAGTCGTTCTGGCTGCTATATTTTTAAATTATTTGGTGCAGCATTAGCGCCTCCTTTTCGCACCAAATGTTTTTGCTCCTTGACCCTGCAATCTCCAACAATTTTCGATGCCAGAGCCCTCTGGTCGGTCCACCTGCTCTCTGTACATCGGCACGTCATCCCTACATCCCCTGTGTCTTCTTTTGTGTTTGTCTCCAGACCCTCCATATGTCTCTTAGTAGGACTGTGTTCTTAGTAAAAGAAAAAAAGAAAAAAAGAAAAAGAAGATGCACTTTTGGTGGGATCTCACTGAGCACATCTCCATGTAAGCCTCCGCTATCTCTACCCCATCTAAAGCACAGTCATGTACATTTACATGTACATGTAAATGGTCCCAAAAACAGTAAACCAAGGGGTGAAAAGCAACGAGCTAATCAACAAACAACTTGAGCGCATGTATATTCCTTTTTTCTATTTTGCAAGCGGTAGAACGTGTGTTGTAGGCGTTCATAGTCTCCGTGGCTTTTTGTTAAATTTAATGTTGCCCTACAAGATTGATATGGTTCTTCTTCTATCGCAAATCATCTCATTACTCATCCTGATTGTCCTGCTCGGTATTCTAATATCGATGAGTGGAGCTTTCCACAGAACACAGGATTATGATAATCCAACGAGCAGAATCAAAGCGGTGACGCAGAATTCGTCTCGTTTAGTTACATTGGTACGTTCGCCACCGCAGCATGCATGCATGAACGAACCACAGAACCGTATTGTTACAGATCTCTTCTGTTCGACCTGGATATTTGGATCGTGGAATTTGAGCGTGTTTTGACCTGTTGAAGTTAGTTTCACAAATGAATGTGTAGAGTTCTACGCATTCCAGTACCGGTACAACACGATACTTCTGACGTGACGCGAAAGTTCACCTTGCGCTACATTATGTATCTGGCTCGTGCGTCGAAAAACAACGCGAGTGACCTGCAGCTGACGTCGAAATTAATTGGTAGTTTTACGCCAAATGCGACGTGTAATTGCGCGTCACGTCGGACATAACGTGCATCTTAACGTACGTCTCTAATGTATCACTCACCTGTACACATCTGTGTATTCATCAAAGACGCCGTCAGTCAGGGTTTCCGGCGAACACCATCGACTCGTGCCCATGGCCTGTGTCAAGCCGGCAGTGCCTTCCACACGCATACTAGTAGTAGCAGCGTGATTCCTGCAGTCAGCGACTACCTGCGGCTGCAAATCTGAATGTTCTGCGCGTTGAGCGCAGGTAAGAAGTGGCTCCGTATCGTGCTCTTCCTCTGGACCGTCTGGTGTTGCTGTGAAAGGTCTAGGTATTGGCATGGTAACGTGGTTAAAGCCTGGGGCGCATGCTGCGGTGTTTGCCACTAGGTTCTCCTCAGGGTCCATTCTGCCGTAGAAGTCGATAGTCGATAGAAGACGTAGCATGCCAAAGTCCGCTATTTTCACTTTCCACTTGCTCGTCACCAGGAGATTGGAGCTCTTGAGGTCGCAATGAATTCGAGGTGGTTCCGAGCTATGCAGAAACTCCATTCCGCTTGCTATGTCCGTTGCGAAGTCAATCTTTCGCTGACAGCTAATAGCGTGCGGTGCGTGCTCAGACAGAATCTTGAACAGTGATTCTCGCATCACATACTCCATAACAATGAACGGTGAGCGCTGCGGCGGCTTTGTACCTGCACCAAGGAAGATTACAATGTTCGGATGGCGGACTGTTCGCATCAAATCAAGCTCCCGTATGAACTGCTGTAGAAAGACGTCGTCCATTCGACCGCGTCGAAGCACCTTCACAGCCACTGGTATATCCGACAGCTCTGCAAGGAACACATCACCGCTGGAGCCACTTCCGATTATCCTCTTGATGGATGGCTCAATCTCTCTCCATTTCACCAGTACACCGTTGGCCAATTGCCTCAATTGCCAGCGCGAAACCTGCAGATCTTGTTCTCGTTGGCGAAACAGTTTCTGGCTCTGTCGTACACGCCTCCACACAAACAGGATTGTCAGAGCAAGAATAACTGTACCAGTAACGATCAGGATGATAACCAAGGGAAGTTGGCAGTTGTCATACGACAGATATCCCCAGTCACAGCTACACGTGGCTTTTCTATGGTTGACTAAGCACTCTCCGTGCCCATGGCAGAAGTCCTTGTAACATGGGTCCAATGCGCTGCATTCCTTGGAAGCGGTTGAGTTTGTGATCAGGTAAGGTCCACATTCGGTGCAAATGCCGCTTAGATCGGATGAGTAGAAATTGACGTCGCATGCCTTACAACTGTCATTCACCCATCCATGGCCAAGCGGGCAGTGATGTGGTGCCATGTTGTAATGACACGTTTTGTCGCTGAACACTGCACTCTGTGGGTTCGCCAGATTGGGAAAAGGCAGTAGAATGCCGCCATACACCACACTTCCCACCACGGAGTGTCCGACCATAGGGTAGCTGCTGAAGAATGGGATAACGTTAGTATTCCTCAGTGTTGTCATGTTTCTGAGATCTGAGAGCGGGGCTGGTAAAGGAACCAGGTATGAGGGAATCGATAAACATTTCTTCGCACGGTGATCTTTATAGTTATATAAGCACTTGATCTTGACACCACCCACGATCAGGAGCGTGGATTTAGAAAAGCTTGCCAGACTGTACATGATGCGGTCGAGTAGCGTTGGCAACAGTGGAATCGGTGTCCAGTCGACAGTAACTCTCGATCTGGACACGACAATAGTCAAAGACAGAAGTGCATGGTTTACCGGTTGAAAGTGGCTCGTAAAACCCCCGCCCACTATCACCTTGCCATCGTGTACCGTGGCTGTGTGCATCATCCTACGCGGCATTGGCCTGGCAGTGGAGACTTGACGCCATGAACCGGTGCATGTAGATAAATCGCTGAACGTGAACACGTAGGTCTGATTCAGGGCCAACGCTAACACACCGGTAATGGGATCCCATTCCATCCCGCCGTAGAGTAAAAAACTTGTGTTGGACAAAGTGACGGCAGAGTGGCCAATACCGGCAAATCCCGACCGTTCTGGAGTCTGGTGGCGATTGGTGAGATTTCCTATCCGCCAGTACTGGTCAAGCCAGTCAAAGCACCATACATGCCTGTCGGGTGGCGCCCCAGTCAGTGGGATGCCACCGTAGATGACTGCTTTCGGCCTCGTGCTGTCAAACAGCTGAAGCAACGAGTGACAAAAACGATCAGCAAACGGTGGACCAGGCTTGATGACTCGCATGATGTATTCATGCGCGTGGGAACTGTATGACCATATAGGCAAAGATTTCCAAGACGGTTCTGGCCAGGTATCTCCTTCTGCCCTTCGTGAATACGCGTAGCGAGGGAACATGCAGAAGCCACCGATCATTGCAGCGTATGGTTCGCCGAAGCTTTCATCACCTTCCTCATGTGGCCGAGGACGGAAATAGATAGGCGTCTGCATAGTAATGCATCCAACATTCCCTGGAAAGCTGTACATCGGGTCTTCCCCTGGCAGTGCTCGCCAAGCCACTGACGGCTGACCAGTAACGTAGTCAAACTCTACAGACAGATTAACTGTGAAAGGTATACTCGTCTGCACCATGAACAGAGATGTATTGTGGTACAGGAATCCCAGCGCTCGTATTCGCGACACGTCTTGCATCAGCTCGGGTGCGAAGTTAGTTGTGGTGGTTTGCTTGACAGTAGACCAATTACCGGTGCGCGTTCCTCGTATGGTGATACGGGAAATGGACAAACTGCTCTCAAAACATGCCAAGGGAACTGCACCATCGGAGAAGGCGATATTGACAATCGCCAACTCTCCAGCTCCTTGCGAGTAAGCACCGAACGGCCGTAGAGGGAGGCGATTCCAGGCAAAACAGGATGATGCCGCGCGTGCCTCACAGTTCTCCTTCAGATGTGTTAGTTTCGTCCACTCACGACTTGATGCATGAAATTGCCACAAGTCGCATTTCGCCTCAAGCGGATATCGCCCCGTTTCAGTACCACCTGACGAAGACAAAGACATGCCTCCATAAACGAACAGTCTCGGTCCGTCACTGGCGTCAGCATTAAGCAGTAGGGACGCAATTCGTGGAGTAGGACAGGGGTGCAAAACGCCAGAATTCGAAACCCGCGTTGTCCACGAACCAATCTCGAAATTGTCACCAGACAACTGAAGGACATGGACGTCGTTGGAGAATTGTTGGCAATGCTCAGCGAAGATGTTGCTCAACTCGCAGCCAGTACCACCGAACATCAGTATGCTCTCTGTTCCGTTGGGATTAGTGATGTCACGTATTGCCAGCATAGCTGCAGTGCCGCCCAGAATGAGTGGCTGAGCGGAGTGGCTGGAGAGCGCTGCTGTACGCTTACGCTCCGGCCCGCGCCCGCGCCCGCGCCCGCTGGCTGATACTATGCGGACTAGACGGTGTCGCCGTGTGCTGGGATTGTACACAATCGTCTGATTGCATTCCAGTCGAGCACCATATCCATAGATGAATACAAACTTTCGGCTCGTACTTGCGACCACTGTGCCACTGACATTTCGCGGATTTCTGCAGGACTCGGGCAAGAAGGAGATATCGATACGGTCGTGAATTCGCCAGGTCTGACCTCTTTCTCCCTCGACCTCGAAAAGATACACGGACAGGTGGGTTACACTAACAGGAAAGGTGTCGTTATAACTAGCGGGCACGCTGAACAGGAGCATTGCGTGGTATTCGTCAGTCATGGCATGTTCTTGAATCACAAGAGGCTCCCGGACGAGCATGGGGTGGCTGATGCTAGATATATCGTTTGGGTGAAGAGTCCTAAGCGTTGGTGAATAGGCCTTCGTACACTGGACTTCTAGGAGAGGCGGTACTTGGATGTCACTGGAGTTATCTTCAACTGCATTCCATTTTTGTTGGGCTTCAGGAGTGCTCCAGGGAACTGGACGAGAACTACGCGAGGCTTGCGGCCAAGTATCATGGGTCTCTCGGTGCAACGCGCGTGTGTACTCTGCACCTCTGGTCAATGTAGAGTGCAGGATTGCGCTTAGGAAGTTATCAATCAGGTCACTGTGGGCCATTCCATGATCGGCCGCAGGAGAGTCCCCGGACGTGGCGGCCTCGCGGGTTTTTCCCCTTCTACTACGCCGAGTATCACCAGTTGCAGGTACAGTCTTCTCAGTCTCTGCTGGGATATTGGATGGCTTGGACAACGATAGGTGAACACGATCATCTACCGCTGTGCGTCCGACCACAGCTCCCGACCGGCGAATGATCTCCACTATGTGCTTAGCTGAAGAAGCAGGAGCAGGTCTAGCGACACTGTCGCCTTCACTCCCGACTGCCAAGGTGGCCGCAAAGCAGGATAGCAAGAGAATTGCACTGTAGATTGCCACGTGCACTAAAGATGGCAATGTGGCTTGAGAGCTGCGCTGGCCTTGGCATCTGCATTCCCCTACTGATGCGCACGACTGTCTGGTATTGAGCTTCATCACTAACATCAAGCAAGGATGGATGAACTGGTATAGGCAAAGAAGTTAGTTGTCCAACAAGGCAATACGTTGGCGTGCATCTACATGAACAGCTGAACACGAACTCTGGTTTGTAATGTTGGATGCTATTCAAAATTTCAAATCCACAATTTCTCTGAGATTTGAACTGCCAGGGCGGTCGGCGATGCAAGTGAAGACTGAAGGAGCACACCGAGATTGCTAACCAGTTACAGGCGCAACAGCCCAGAGGTCTCCTGACCAGATGGGTAGACAACATTGGGAATAATGACCTTCTACTTCTCAACATTTCTCTTTTGAAAGTGGAGCAACTTACCTCAGGCAGAACGCCCTGGGTCGACGTTGTCGACAGATGCATGACTCTCTTTCGATGTTTCATATGAGTAATATGCGTGCTGTATTGTTAAAATTACAGGCTCACGGCCAAGTAAATGTAGATCTACATTTGCTCTCGACCGCACCTGATGTTCGTGACGCGCGGTCCTTGTAATAATTAGGATCCGACCACACCTGATGTTCGTGACGTCACAGTACCACTACAACGAAGATTTTCATCCCGCGGATAAGCCCATGGGCTTATCTGTTTCACAAGGACATTTCGGTGGGCTTATACGAGAACATGGGCTTATACGCGGGCATGGGCTTATACGGCGACACCAAGTTGTGCTAATGAAAGGTATCACGGAAGGTATCACGGAAGTGAGAAGTACATTGCTGAAAACCACTGTGCAAACAAAAACAACCGATGATTGTGCTGAAATGCACGAAAAAAACTATAATGTGCATGTACTACGTACATGGTATGGCCAGGAGTCCATAATTTATGGACTCTCGGTATGACCTAAGCCCATGGGCTTGTACGATGAAGCTTTGTGATGTTCGAACAAACCCTGGGCTTATGCGCGGGCATGGGCTTACACGCGGGTGGGCTTATCCGCGGGATTCTACGGTATTGAAAGACTGTGCCGTTTCTACTGCACGAAAACAGATGCTATCATGCTGTGACACAGGGAAGTCTAATTACAATCTTTATTTCAGGATTGCCCAAAAACACCTATCGGGGGATCTCCAGTTTGTGAAAATCCGACATGTCAACAACAACCAGTGACGCGTGTCAGTCGGCATCCGAATATTGCAGTATGGCTGAAATGGCTGTGAATGTGTGTACATGTACATGTATATCCGATATGTCGACAACAACTGGTGACGTGCGTCATTTGGCATCCGAATACCGTAGAATCCCGCGGATAAGCCCATGGGCTTATCTGTTTCACAAGGACATTTCGGTGGGCTTATACGAGAACATGGGCTTATACGCGAACATGGGCTTATACGCCGACACCAAGTTGTGTATCAAGGAAGTGAGAAGTACATTGCTGAAAACCACTGTGTAAACAAAAACAACCGATGATTGTGCTGAAATGTACGGAAAAACTATAATGTGCACGTACTATGTACATGGTATGGACAAGAGTCCATAATTTATGGACTCTCGGTATGACCTAGGCCCATGGGCTTGTACGATGAAGCTTTGTGATGTTCGAACAAACCCTGCTTATGCGCGGGCATGGGCTTATACGCGGGTGGGCTTATCCGCGGGATTCTACGGTATTGTAGTATGGCTGGTTACTATCACATACAGAATAGGCTAGGGGCGCGCACCAAGGGATAATCAGTATCGGGCAGCCTTGGTTGCGGGTTCTTGCGTTATTCGAGAATGCGACTTTACATTGTTCCCCTTTTTAGAGGGGAAGTATACCCTAACATCAATTTTTCACCAGCTGTAGTCTTCGGGGTGCTGAGTCGAATGGTCTTGGTCTGAGGAAGCTGAGACGCTCCATTCCTCCTTTAACTCCTCGAACTCACCACTTCCACCGACACTGGGTCACAGCGGGTGACTGTGGCCTGGTCACCTTTGCCTGCAGGCTACAACTAACTTTCACACCAAGGTTCAACTCGAGTGACAGGAACGCGCCTAAACAGGCTGCAATTAGTTTGTAACCATGGTAACAGTTTTACTATAAGTACTACATGACTGTAAGTTAGTTAGTTGTAGCTTGGTGTACGCATGGGCACGTGACCGCTTACTCACCCGTGTTCGATTGCGAATGAGGGCCGAACGTTGCATCGCAGCCTTTTCGGACCAAAACCAGTTGACGCAGCGTCCAAAAGACTAGAACATGATATGGCCGTCCGCGGTCATCCGTGCCTTTAGAAGAACGAAATGGCGCTTTTAGTGACATTTTGCAGACGAATCCCCACCTAGTAGGGCGCAGTCACCGGTGTTTTGGTGGAAGTGGAGAGTTCGATTGGGAATAAAGGAAGAAGGGAGTGTCTCAGCTTCCTCGGACCAAGACCATTCTTCTGAGCCATGACTTTCCACCCTATAATATTCGGATGAGCCCTATCTCTAGGTGGACAATCGAGCTCATGACGATGGGCTTGAAAGTGCTACGTCACAGCCAGCCCGGAGTCATGACAACGCTGAATTTTCGGGTCCACTTGGATACAGGTTTTGCATGGAGCCATACACATTTGCGTGGTTTTCCTTCAATATCACAGTGACATAGTCATTAAAGGGGAAGTTAAGGCAAAAATTAAAATTTCACCAGTTGTAGTCTTCAGGGTGCTGAGTCGAATGGTCGTGGTCACGTGCTCCTGCGTACGCCAGTCACCTGGTCACCGTGCCTGCAGGGTACAACTTACTAGCCTGTTTGACCTTTTTTGGGTGCAGTCCTGTCACTCGAGTTGAACCTTGGTGTGAAAGTTGTCGCCTGCTGGCGTGGTGACCAGGTGATTTGGGCACCCAGGAGCACGTGACCGCTTCTTCAACCATGTTCGATTGGGAATAAAGGAGGAACGCTGCATCGCAGCCTTTTCGGACCAAAACCAGTCGACTCAGCGTCCAAAAGACTACAACATATGGGCCAATCGCGGTCATCCGTGCTTTTATAAGAACGAAATGGCGCTTTTAGTGACATTTTGCATACAAATCCCCATCTAGTAGGGCGCAGTCACCCAGTTTCGGTGGAAGTGCGCGAGTTCGATTGGGATTCAAGTAGGAAGGGAGCGTCTCAGCTTTCTCGGACCAAGACCATTCGACTCAGCACCCCGAAGACTACAACTGGTGAGATTTTAATTTTTGCCTTAACTTCCCCTTTAATACATTATCCTCACGTAGTGACTGGATTGGGCCCTCCCGGTCAGGCCTGGAAGGACCCACTCTTTGTACTGGATTGTACTGGATGGATCTTAATAGCACACCAAACATGAGTAGAAGAAATGAGCTGCGAGTGCAGCGTAACAGAGTGCAGAAGGAAATCCGAATCCTGTCTCGACAGCTGGCGTTACAGCATCTTGAGAGCCGCATCAGAGAAGTGGAGTCACTCAAGAACGGGCCAATGATGTTTGCAGCGATAAAACTGCTGAAACCAAAGTGCCCACGAGATTTAACCATTGTAGACAACAACGGCAAGGCTGTCCTTGGGCCAGGAGAGCAAGCGGATAGAATAGCTGAGCATTACACTGGGAAATCCTCTCCTACTGCTGCAGAGCCAGCGGTCACGCCATTCACAGGAACACCGAAACCCCTCGATAAACCGATTTCCACAGCAGAGGTAGCGAGCGCAATGAGTCGTCTAAAGAACCAACGCTCCTGCGGGCCTGATGACATACCGGCCGAGCTGGTCAAATACGGAGGCCCTGCACTTGCAGAATGCCTGAGCAGCATTTTCAACGATGTATTCACTCAGCACAGCCAAGCGTCCCTTGGAGATGGTGTACTAATCGCTCTGCATAAGCCAGGTAAACCCAAAGGCCCCATGAACAATTTGCGTCCGATAACATTGCTGACTACTGCCAGAAAAATCTTGTCCCTCATCACACTTAGCCGGATCAGAGCTGACGTAGAGCGATATATATCTCCATCGCAAGCCGGGTTCCGTCAAAACAGATCAACCGCAGACATTGTGTTTTGCAAACGGATCCTGGCATCAATTGTTGAACGCTTGAACACTACCATCTACGTGCTAGGGCTGGACCTGAGCAAGGCTTTTGACACAATAAACCGCACAAAGCTGCTTGATGTCATGGAGCAAGAGAAAATTGGAGACGCGGACGGTTTACGACTGGTTAGGTACCTGCTATCTGGCACGGCGCTGACAGTTCGCGTGAACGAAGCACAGTCCGCACCTTTTGAGACAGCTCGGGGGGTCCCCCAGGGCGATGGTTTGTCACCGGTACTGTTCACGGTTTATTTGGAAGCAGCCCTACGAATGGTACGTGACCGACTGCCAGCCCGACCATCAGCAGACAACATTCTACCTGAAGAAACAGCTTACGCCGATGACGTAGACTTCATCTCCACATCAAAATCATTCCTTACCAGCACCCTACCCGTCATCGCAGGCGTCTTCTCCGAATGGGGTCTTACCGTCAATACCAGTAAGACTGAGTGGATCCGTATTTACCTGGAACCCACTTTGGGAGATGCCACCTCTACAACATCTAGAAAGGTCGGCACAACTCGTGGTAAAGAAGCTTGGCGACAGGTGAAGACACTCGGCTCGCTATACGGCTCCGGGGAGGACGTAACGCGCCGTATTGGCTTGGCCGCAAGAGCATTTGGAGACACTCTGAAGTTATGGTTCAAACACAACCTGCTTTCTACACCCATCAAAATTCGTTTATACAACACTTTCGTTCTACCAATCTTGACCTACAACCTTGCTTGCCATGGCCTGTCCCGTGCACAAGAAAAGCGCCTAGATGTGTTTCATAGGAAACAGCTGCGGTGTACCCTTGGAATTACCTACCCAGATGTCATCTCGAATGCAGATTTATATGCTGTTACTGGCCAGTGCTCTGTATCTGAAATGGCCAAGCGGGACAGGTGGAAGCTATTAGGACATATATTACGCCAGCCAAGTGACATCCCTGCGAATGTTGCTCTCACTGCTTTCTGTACATATGCTACCAGTCAGCCCTTTCGAATAGGTGCACCCCGCTCTTGCCTCACCACAAGTCTCCAGCGAGACGTCCGCCTCACACCTATCTGCATTTTTAAGCCCAGCTGCCTTCGTGATCTCGGCACCTATGCCCGCGACAGAAAACAATGGAGTAACATCTGCTCAGCCATTTAGTCTAGTACTGCTCTTCTTAAATTTGACCTTATTACAAGACTTCTTTTCTTTTTCATTTCGTTCTCCCACTCTCACACACACATGCTCACGGTTAATTCTGCCGTCGTGAGTCCCATTCGGGACGGATACGAGAATAATAATAATAATAATAATAA